GCCAGCTTTTCCATCCGTTGAAGCCCTAACTCAATCCCCATGCGAGATGCAACTATACACATAAAGTAGTAATGTTCCTACAATGAACACAAACACACACAGAAGAGAGGAGAGAGATGAGAGAGGAGTGAGAGTAAAGAGAGAAAGCGAAGAGAGAGAGAGAGAGAAAGAGAGAGAAAGAGAGAGAGAAAGAGAGAGAAAGAGAGAGAGGGAGAGAGAGGGAGAGATAGAACGAGAGAGAGAGAGAGAGAGAGAGAGAGAGAGAGAGAGAGAGAGAGAGAGAGAGAGAGAGAGAGAGAGAGAGAGAGAGAGAGAGAGAGAGAGAGAGAATTCAAAAGCCTTTCAAAATAGTTATATGGAATTTCGAAGTGAGACAATGAAGACAAGAGGAGCTTTTAGATATTTCAAACAAGGTAGTCACAGCCACTCAAAAGCTTGCCAAGATTTAAATGCAGGAATACTTGCATAAGAGGTAAACACAGGTAGCAGAAAGAGCTCTAACAGACCTAGTTCGTGTCCTATGCAATGTTGTTGGCTAAAAAACGTAGAACAGGTAATGCGATTTTCAAATAACGTTAAGTTATCTAGATAGAAGCTACCGTTCTCAGTGCCAATCTTATTTTTGGGAACGTAACTTCGCCTCAATATGGAATTATAAATCCACACTCCGGCTATTTCAGTTGGAATCCCTAATATAATCTAATGGTTGAAAGAGGTTTCATGGAATGGCGCCTGGTGATTATCGTCCTGACTGACCAGTGTTTTTCATGAATCTGGTAATCTGGTAATCTTAGTTTAGGCTTCAGAGCAAACAGGTCACCCCATGTCTTGTTTTTCTGGAACTTGCGCCAGGTGATTATCGTCCTGACTGATCAATCTTCCTAATTAACTCACATGTGTACACAGTGCTGGTAACTGAGCAGCAATTGCACGGAAGTGGCAGGGATTTGTCATTTTCTGATGACGTCTTGGTATCTCGACATGGAAGAGATCGTCAAGAGATTGCCAGTTCAGTGCAGAGTGAACTTGATCGCATCTCCTCCTGGTGTGCAGAGTCTAATGCTCATGTCAACCCTTCGAAGGCCTTAGTAAAGTGTTTCTTATTGAACAAGCCTATAGTGAAGGCAGACTTACCAGCAGCGTGGACATTTTGACGAGAACAAATCTGACGTCATATCTCGGAGTGAGGTTTTATCCCTCTCCTTCATAGGGCATGTTGACCCTGTTATAACAAACGCACGCAAATGCCTATCAGCAATGAGGGTCCTTTTCGCCGCTAAAACTAAACAGAGACTGCTTCTGCTTCTGTTCCAGGGACTTGTACTTTCTCTCATCGAATAGGCTCTAGCCATTCTCGCTGTCAGCCATACTCAGATTGAAAGGCTTGAGGAGATGCAAAACGAAGCAATGCGCATTATTCTGTGTTGGACTGGACAACACCTCTTTTGTAGCAGTGAGGTAACTTTTTGTCTTCCTTACCATGACCTTCAGGATCAAGATCTGGAGGGCTCGTGCATACCACAAGATAAGCTCAGATCTGAAGCACCCTTTGCACCACACGCTCTTCGGGAAAAAAAACAATAGGCTTATAAGGGCAAATCATGGCTGGGTAGGGCACAGAATGACATCATGCAGGTTTGTTGGGAGCAGAATCCAGCTGCTGTCAATGCTGAGCTATGCGTGCTTATCAGTGACAGTCAGGTGACACATATGTGGTGATCTTCACAGACGGGTCTGTTATACCAAAACATAAGAGCGCATGGGCGGTTACAGCTCGCTCTTCAGGCAGAAGAGTTTAAGAAGCCAGCAGTGTCTTCTCTATGACTCCTAGAAGCATGACGATGGATGTGATGTCAGTGACACAAGCTTTTATGTGGCTAGAATCATAGGACTATTCCCGCGTGTGTGTGTGTGTGCTGAGTGATTCTTTGAGCAAAATCCTGCGGGTCGAGGCAGGCTGGTTAAGCAGACAGTGGATGGAGTCATTGCAAGACTCTTCTCTGTGTGCAGTTACCTTCATATTGGTCCCAGGGTATTTAGGTGTTGCTGGTAATGAAAGAGCGGATAGACTGGCAGGCGCCGCATCAACTGAAGATAGCATGAGAATGGCACAGGACGCACACAAAGTCTTGCCAACCAGCATAGGACTGGCAGTATTACCCGCGCGACAGTGATGAATATGTCGAGACAGGAATCTGGGCATCTATTCATGTGTCCGGGGTGCTGTACATATATTCCAACTCAACTCATAACCCATACATGCACGGGGTGTTTTTTTTTTTTTCTTTTTGTCTTTAACTGGTGAAGACAAATCGTATTCATTACCTTTAATTCATTCAGACCAATCTCTCTATCTCTCTCTCCACTCAAAAATCTCTCTCTCTCTCTCTCTCTCTCTCTCTCTCTCTCTCTCTCTCTCTCTCTCTCTCTCTCTCTCTCTCTCTCTCTCTCGCTCGCTCCCTTTAACTCTTAGGACCAGTTTCAGTTATTAATTAAAAATAATCCTGCTCATAAATACTTTTGACCTTGCAGAAAATTTTTTTTTTCGGACAGAAGTAAATAAGAAAAGGAAATACTTTCTAAAAGTAACTAGATTTACGACAAAGAGAGTTAAGAGGATAACGAAACTGGGCAGATCCCAGAATTAATATTTGCATGCACTACAAAAGTTCGTTTGTTCTCGTCATCATCATGTGCCCTGTCGATTAGAGTGAGCGATTATGTTTCGCCATCTCAAACGATTAACAAAATCATCTTTGGGATCAGTTCTCTTGAATATCACCATATACATGAAAAAATCATCCAAATGTTTATCTCTTTGCCGTGCCCTTTGCTTTTTTCCCCCATCACTCGCCAATTTTGAACTGGCGATAATTTATTTTTATAACATATAAAACACCAACCTTCTGCTCTACTGCTTCTTCTTCCTCTTCTTCTTCAGCATTCCGAGCACTTGAGATTCACTGCTGCATAAATTACCCGCTCCCTTTCATCTCTCTGGTTGGCCTTCTAAATGACGCCGAGTGTGTATAGGTCTGTCTGGTTATTATCTCGCCATCGTCTTCTTGGTCTGCCTCGTGGTCTACGACCATTCAGCTCCCTTGTGTATGTAGTGTTTACCTCCCTGTCATATAACATTCTCTTGTGGTCTACGACCATTCAGCTCCCTTCTGTATGTAGTGTTTACCTCCCTGTCATATAACATTCTCTCGTGGTCTATGACCATTCAGCTCCCTTGTGTATGTAGTGTTTACCTCCCTGTCATATAACATTCTCTCGTGGTCTACGACCATTCAGCTCCCTTGTTTATGTAGTGTTTACCTCCCTGTCATATAACATTCTCTCGTGGTCTACGACCATTCAGCTCCCTTGTGTATGTAGTGTTTACCTCCCTGTCATATAACATTCTCTCGTGGTCTACGACCATTCAGGTCCCTTGTGTATGTAGTGTTTACCTCCCTGTCATATAACATTCTCTCGTGGTCTACGACCATTCAGCTCCCTTGTGTATGTAGTGTTTACCTCCCTGTCATATAACATTCTCTCGTGGTCTACGACCATTCAGCTCCCTTGTGTATGTAGTGTTTACCTCCCTGTCATATAACATTCTCTTGTGGTCTACGACCATTCAGCTCCCTTGTGTATGTAGTGTTTACCTCCCTGTCATATAACATTCTCTTGTGGTCTACGACCATTCAGCTCCCTTGTGTATGTAGTGTTTACCTCCCTGTCATATAACATTCTCTCGTGGTCTACGACCATTCAGCTCCCTTGTGTATGTAGTGTTTACCTCCCTGTCATATAACATTCTCTCGTGGTCTACGACCATTCAGCTCCCTTGTGTATGTAGTGTTTACCTCCCTGTCATATAACATTCTCTCGTGGTCTACGACCATTCAGGTCCCTTGTGTATGTAGTGTTTACCTCTCTGTCATATAACATTCTCTCGTGGTCTACGACCATTCAGCTCCCTTGTGTATGTAGTGTTTACCTCCCTGTCATATAACATTCTCTCGTGGTCTACGACCATTCAGCTCCCTTGTGTATGTAGTGTTTACCTCCCTGTCATATAACATTCTCTCGTGGTCTACGACCATTCAGCTCCCTTGTGTATGTAGTGTTTACCTCCCTGTCATATAACATGCTCTTGTGGTCTACGACCATTCAGGTCCCTTGTGTATGTAGTGTTTACCTCCCTGTCATATAACATTCTCTCGTGGTCTACGACCATTCAGGTCCCTTGTGTATGTAGTGTTTACCTCTCGGTCATATAACATGCTCTCGTGGTCTATGACCATTCAGGTCCCTTGTGTAAATAATGTTTATTTCCCTATCATCTGACATTCTCTCAGTATGCCCAGTCATTTCCGTCTGTTAGCTCTCATGATGCCAATGCTCAATGGTGATTTAAACAGATAAATTTCGTTTTTGCCTCTGTGCATAACTTCTCTAACCAGTTTACGCTGTTTATCCGTCTCGAGAAGTACTGATTCTTTGGTGTATCTTCAAGTTCCATTTCATCTTCAGCGACGTCCAGGCTGGTCAAAGTGGGCAGAATGCAATCTTTAAAACGTAGACCCTACAATATATCATTTACTACCCTTCTTGTTTTATCACCTGTCTCATTTTTCAAAATTAAAACTGGTTTTAAGTTAAGAGGGTTTATTTCAGTGTCTTGTAGCATATTGTTTTGTCTGCCTTACCCGGAATGCTACCTCCTTATCGGAAGCATTGCTCAAATTATGAAATCCATAGTTCTAGCTAAGACTCGTGCGAATTTCCACAGTGATTGCACTCGTCAACCAAGCGACGAATTCCATCAAAAGAACTCATAACAGCAGAAAATGGTTAAAACGGCTGAACCATTTAGCCAGGAAGACACCCCTATCCCTACTCCACCCCTTCCTTGTCAATGGAGAAGGTTGCATTGGTTCCTGATACGATTAGCATCATTTTTGTTTTGAAATCAATGTCTAATGAATCGTGATTGATCTTTCCAGGTCGTATGGTTCAACAGTTGTACCCCTTTCGTCTGTGGGTGAGTCTCCTGGACACGATCAGTGAGGGGACGTTGACTTTAGACAACCTACCATTGCTGCTAGGAGAGTCACTCAACGAACTGGCAAGTACTGGAATGAACCACAACGCCGATGTCTTTCTGGCCGTGCATGGACACCCAGGTATGTATGAGGGGAAACACCAATGTAGTTATTTACTGATATGTGTATGTTTTTGATGGAGTGGAGTGGAATGGGAAGAAAATCTAACAATTAGTTTAATGAGTCATGTAGCTAAAATATTTTTGAGAATTTTCACGAGAAGAATAAGGTGCCAAATTAAACAAGAAATTTAAGAAGAGCAGTGTGGTTTTGTTGAAGGTAAAGGCACAAACAACGCCACATTTATCTTGAGAACACTTTCAGAAAGAATGATTGGCATGAATAGAGCTCTGTATTTGTGCTTTATTGATTACACTAAAGCATTCGATTAAAGGAAATATACAGAAATTATTAGAATTTTGGAAACCTTAAACAATTATGGCAAAGATCTGAGAATAATAAAATAAAATATATAATGGTAACGAGAAGCAGCCATGAGGATTGACAACCAGGTTGGAACTTGTCAAATTATTAAACAAGGCGTTAGGGATGTGTGCTATCACCCGGTTTCTTCAATCTGTACAGTGAAATAATAATTAGATCATAAATGGTATGCCAGGAATAGCAGTTGGTGGGCATATTGTCAACAACCTACGATATGCTGACGATAGAGTGTTGATCGCTGAAAATGAAACACAACTGCAAGAAATTATGAACATAATTGTTACGGAAAGTTAAAACAAGAGTCTTAGTTAGAACAGCAGAAAAACAGAAGTAATGGTAATTAAGAAGAAAAAGGACCCTCGAAAATGCAACATTAAAGTCAAAGGGACAAACATCAAGGATGTTGATGTATGTTTAAATACTTGGGTACCCTGATAACATCAAATGTATTACATAAATTAAATGTAGAATAGATCAAGCAAATGCAGCGTTTTACAAAATGAAGAATATTATATCTTTGTCAGTTGAGACGGGAAAGAGAATTCTTAAAATCTATATAAATCCTATATTGATAAACGGGTGTAAATCATGGACAGTTAGTACATTAGTGAAAACTTTTTTGGAAGCTGTGAAGATCTGGTTTTATAGACGAATGATGAGAATTCCCGGGACAGAGAAAAAGAGTAATGAAGACGTCTTGAAAGAAACTGACTCACGAAGAGGATTGATTGCCCACATCAGAAAGAGACGATCCACATTCTTTTGTCGTGTGCTGGAAAGGAGAAAACTGGAGTACATCGTGACGGTAGGAAAGTTGGAGAGGAGGCAGAGGGAGGCATGGAATATCATGGGTTTAAGAGTGGATTGAAAGTACACGAGACAGAAGGTTGTGGATAGGCATGACTACCATTGCCACACGGCATGACTACCAATGCCACACGACATGGACGAAGAAGAAGAATGTTTTGGTATGTTGGCCTCATGATTATTTAGCCGTGTTCTCGTGTGGGTTTCCGGGGCCTCATCTTAGTGGAACAAAGAATAGACTTACTGTCACATAACAATCATGTCCTAGAAGGCGACTAGTGAGAGATGTTTCCTTCGAAGTCGTAGTGCATCCGCTTGAGAGGAGAGGAATTAAGAGTCTGTGTACAGCTAAGTCCAGAAGTGGGTGAACAGCCAGGATTTTCCGTCGACGCATAAAGCATGTGAACGTCAGGAAGAGAGGAGGAGAGATGTATCATTAAAGGGATGTGCAAAAGCTTTAAAGTGTGTTCAAAGATGAGAGAATCGACTTGAAATAGACGCACTCGCCTACAATTGAACTTAAGTTAGAAAACTGAGCCGGCAATCTTCAGAGCTCAAGACAACACATAGCCATGGAAGCTCACTGATGTCAGTCGTTTGCACTAGTTAACAACAAAAGAGGTTGCAGTCTCCTGATCAAACTGCCTGCACACATTGACGAGTAGTACTTTCAGTAAATGTAGGCTTTCTTTACTGACAAAATCGAGGTAAATAAACTGGCATCAATTAATGTGTACGCACTGACATAATTCGTTTGCAGTAAAGTAAGTCAAGGTCCCTTTTCCATGCCTTTAGGCTTATTGGGAATACAGGGCTAGACCTATAATTTTTATATACCAATAGCACTTGGTGAGTGATGTTGTCAGCATCACGCCGGCCACCTTTACTTCCCAGGACTGCATCTGGTACCCACTCAAGGCTGGGTCAACATGGTAGTCAAGGTCATTTTGAAAAAGGTCCTGCGCCGTCAGGACTCGAACCCACGACCTTCCGATCCACAGGCGGGCGACTGGCTTTAGTTGTTTTAACTCACATAAATGAGTTATACCAGCTGACATATGTAAGTTGAACAAAGTAGTGTACATAGTAGTGTACATAGTAGTGTACACAGTAGTGTACATAGTAGTGTACATAGTAGTGTACATAGTAGTGTACATAGTAGTGTACATAGTAGTGTACATAGTAGTGTACATAGTAGTGTACATAGTAGTGTACATAGTAGTGTACATAATAGTGTACATAATAGTGTACACAGTAGTGTACACAGTAGTGTACATAATAGTGTACACAGTAGTGTACATAATAGTGTACACAGTAGTGTACATAATAGTGTACATAATATTGTACATAATAGTGTACACAGTAGTGTACATAGTAGTGTACACAGTAGTGTACATAGTAGTGTACATAGTAGTGTACATAGTAGTGTACATAATAGTGTACATAGTAGTGTACATAATAGTGTACATAGTAGTGTACATAATAGTGTACATAGTAGTGTACATAGTAGTGTACATAGTAGTGTACATAGTAGTGTACATAGTAGTGTACATAGTAGTGTACATAGTAGTGTACATAGTAGTGTACATAGTAGTGTACATAGTAGTGTACATAGTAGTGTACATAGTAGTGTACATAATAGTGTACGTAATAGTGTACGTAATAGTGTACACAGTAGTGTACACAGTAGTGTACACAGTAGTGTACACAGTAGTGTACACAGTAGTGTACATAGTAGTGTACACAGTAGTGTACATAGTAGTGTACATAGTAGTGTACATAGTAGTGTACATAGTAGTGTACATAGTAGTGTACATAATAGTGTACATAATAGTGTACATAATAGTGTACACAGTAGTGTGCACAGTAGTGTACACAGTAGTGTGCATATTAGTGTACACAGTAGTGTGCATATTAGTGTGCATAGTAGTGTGCATAGTAGTGTGCATAGTAGTGTGCATAGTAGTGTACATAGTAGTGTACATAGTAGTGTACATAGTAGTGTACATAGTAGTGTACATAGTAGTGTACATAGTAGTGTACATAGTAGTGTACATATTAGTGTACATAGTAGTGTACATAGTAGTGTACATAGTAGTGTACATAGTAGTGTACATAGTAGTGTACATAGTAGTGTACATAATAGTGTACATAATAGTGTACATAATAGTGTACATAGTAGTGTACATAGTAGTGTACATAGTAGTGTACACAGTAGTGTACACAGTAGTGTACACAGTAGTGTACACAGTAGTGTACACAGTAGTGTACACAGTAGTGTACATAATAGTGTACATAGTAGTGTACATAGTAGTGTACATAGTAGTGTACATAGTAGTGTACATAGTAATGTACATAGTAGTGTACATAATAGTGTACATAGTAGTGTACATAATAGTGTACATAGTAGTGTACATAGTAGTGTACATAGTAGTGTACATAGTAGTGTACATAATAGTGTACATAATAGTGTACATAATAGTGTACATAATAGTGTACATAGTAGTGTACATAGTAGTGTACATAGTAGTGTACATAGTAGTGTACATAGTAGTGTACATAGTAGTGTACATAGTAGTGTACATAATAGTGTACCAAATAGTGTACATAGTAGTGTACATAGTAGTGTACATAATAGTGTACATAGTAGTGTACATAGTAGTGTACATAGTAGTGTACATAGTAGTGTACATAGTAGTGTACATAGTAGTGTACATAGTAGTGTACATAGTAGTGTACATAGTAGTGTACATAGTAGTGTACATAGTAGTGTACATAGTAGTGTACACAGTACACAGTAGTGTACACAGTACACAGTAGTGTACACAGTAGTGTACATAATAGTGTACACAGTAGTGTACACAATAGTGTACACAGTAGTGTACACAGTAGTGTACATAGTAGTGTACACAGCAGTGTACACAGTAGTGTACACAGTAGTGTACACAGTAGTGTACATAGTAGTGTACATAATAGTGTACATAATAGTGTACATAGTAGTGTACATAATAGTGTACATAATAGTGTACATAATAGTGTACACAGTAGTGTACACAGTAGTGTACACAGTAGTGTACATAGTAGTGTACACAGTAGTGTACATAATAGTGTACATAATAGTGTACATAATAGTGTACACAGTAGTGTACACAGTAGTGTACATAATAGTGTACATAATAGTGTACATAGTAGTGTACATAGTAGTGTACATAGTAGTGTACATAGTAGTGTACATAGTAGTGTAGATAGTAGTGTACATAGTAGTGTACATAGTAGTGTACACAGTAGTGTAGATAGTAGTGTACACAGTAGTGTACATAATAGTGTACATAGTAGTGTACATAGTAGTGTACATAGTAGTGTACATAGTAGTGTACATAGTAGTGTAGATAGTAGTGTACATAGTAGTGTACATAGTGGTGTACATAGTGGTGTACACAGTAGTGTACACAGTAGTGTACACAGTAGTGTACACAGTAGTGTACATAGTAGTGTACACAGTAGTGTACATAGTAGTAAACACTTGCATACATTATGGGAAAATACCTAGTTACTGAATCAACTCCTTACGTTACTGCAACAAAGAGACCATGGAACGTCATATACGGGCCTTGTCTAGCTCTGTGTGTGTGTGTGGGGGGGGGGGGGACAATCTTTGTGCAGAGATAGAGCAAGCCTTTAAATGTCGCTACGGCAGTTAGTCTCAATTAATTTTTGACAGTTGGTGTGGATAATTTATGTCAATGGGTGCCACAATTTTATGTCAGGGAATGTCAAAAATTATTTTTTTTTTAAATTAGAAAACTCTAAAACAAGAGAAAGCAGCATCA